TGGAATACAAATACAGGGAAACAACTGGTAGAATAAACTATTGCATGAAAAGATGTCTCAGCCAACCATATGTCCGTAATGACATGTGCAATCAAAAGTCTTACACACATAAGGTATTAGATTGATATTATATTGTCAAAACAATGTTTTGCCAGAATAAGGGCAAATTTTTTTGCAACATAATTTAAACATGGTTAGCAGGAAGTAGGTCAGCAACTTTCTTGCTTTTTCGAGTAATAAACAATTGAATTACGCAAAGCAAATAGCTTATTACCAGGAAACAGTATTCCCACCCTAAACATGTTAAGATGAGATGAAAAGGGTAACACAAAAGTTATAACTGCCCTAGAGATGAGAAGCATAAATCCAGGAATATAGGTGCGGGAATACATAGAATGAAGTCCCACCAAACTCGGCAATAAATGATAACAACTTCTTAATAGCAACACTTATAATAATTCCAATATGGTTTTCATAAGTTGGCTGAGGATGGAATAAAATCAAACAGCTAATAAGCTCAACCCTGATTACAAAAAGGATTATGTCCTTGCTGATAACTGCAATTTCCAGAATGCCTAGTTAGAACCCTTAGCTCTCAAGCAGCCATAGGACGGCAGCACTGAGGCAAAGTATGAAACATTAAACTCAATAACATGGAATATTTCCATTCAGTCTCAAAAACAATTGGGCTTTAAGTTTACAAAAGTCTTACACAACCACATAATCTATCACAAAATTTTCGCATAAAATCCTCGAATAAGGTTACAGTAAAATGAGAATGCAAAATGAAAAATAAACTTCTATCAATCAGGAAGCATATCAGCATCAAGGATCATCTATCCAATGGGAAAAAACAATCTCAGAAAGGTTCTACATACGATGTGTTATGTGAACTTATAAGAAAAGATGCATAACTGAGTTTTCCCTCTCTTTGAAATATCAAAGAACTATCAGCGTTCAGGATGGATACTGGCATCATAAATCATCTCATTCCAGAAAACTTAAACCTAGTTGAATAAGTATGAAAAGAAACTTAAACTTAGTTGAATAAGCATGAAAAGAAAGTTAAACTTGAAAATTGTTTGAAGGCTTTTACTAAATTATACGTGCACCAGCTTCAAGTAAAAATTTGAACATTGTACTATGCAAAACAAAACAAGAACATTACCATTATCTCGGAAATCCACTCCTGCTCCTAAAATTAAATTCTTAAGCACCCCCTCTGTTCACAGATATACATATATCTTGCTTTTGCTTTGAAATTTCCCTCCAAGATTTCAAACAATCTTTCAAGTCTCAACAATTAATGTACAAGAAACGTTTCTACCTTAGACAAGTAATAATCCCCTTTATTCATCTATTCCAAACTGTTATTAATAGAAGCCTTGTGTTTTCTTCATTCCTTGGGTACCATGCTAAGAGATTTCAGAATAATTGGTCAGTCAGTTATAGTTTTCATATTGCCAATCAGTGCTTAAAGCATGTAGTTGAATTTTAAGAAAGTGGAACATTTGCTTCCTTTTCACAGGACTCAAACTCCTTGCTTTTTCATTTTGCTACTCTTTAAGGTTTTAATCAGGATAAGGAATTAAAAATACCAAGCAAAATTCCAAGCCACAGGAATACCAAATTCATGTATCCCATGTAAAAGGAACTTGATTGAGATGGTAACAGCACTTTGTAAGTGAATCTGTGCAATTGCAATCCCAAAATGCTTACTGTTTGTAATCTAAAAATTTTCTCAAGGATCACATATGATGAAGAATAGAATCTACAGCAGAACTAACGTACTAAGCAACTCAAGTATGGTACAATACACTGATTAACTGATTAATCATATATGCATGCTTATAGTCAGGCAAGATATTACCTTTCGAACTTTGATCAGTTTTTTTTCCAGCTCAGCCTTTGCACGAGACTGCCTTCGTCTCAGAATACCATGGTATTGCTTAGCGTTCACGTAAACAGGTTCCTCAGCCATTTCAAGAGGCAATGCCATTCTAGCAGGATGCACTCCAAGACAATGAGGATGTACCTGAATGATATTTCAATAACTGTCACAAATATATTTCATGTTGTATTTGCATAATGAAAACCATTCATTAATGATATATTCAACTTCTAAGAACACATCTAAAGCTAGAATACTTATAAAACCTAAACAATGATTACTCTTATAAACATTTAACTTACACCTTCAATTAGAAGAGTAAATAATTTCCAATAAAAAATGTAATATGCTAGATACACATGAATACTATCTAATTCTAATGAAAAGATATAAAAAAGAATCAATGTAGGCAGAACTTGCCAATCGCCATACTTAATTTGCACCTCAACCACCTTGCCCTATGCTATAGGTCCTCACAGAAATCTCATCAAGCAATAAAAATTTGATACTACAATTTTAAAGAGAAGTATCAAATATTGTTCAATAATATAAAATTGTTCCTGTTATTTTTCTAATCCAAACAAAATTTAAAAAATTAAAAAAAATTATTCATATGTGACAGTGACTGCTAAAGTCTTGCTTCTTCTTTATATAGATTACCTGGTGCTATGTGTAATCTTAAATCCAAATTTCATTTATTAAATCCCTTTTCTCACTGGAGTGTGCAACTTCACGTTTTGTACAATTTACATTGGATGATACCATCTTGACAAGTGATGTTTGAAAAATATTGTTTCACTTTTAACTTCATCATTGTATCCAATATTACAGGAATTCTATTATTTATTAGTAGCTTATTGTCCAGGTGATATTATGAGCCAGATACAACAGCCCTCCCACACTTCTCAAATCAAGAGATACTAACAATCTTAACAAGACATTTCTATCGGTCAACCACATTTTTGTGCTTGCTTCTGCAGCTGTTGTGAAAACATGATGATTTCATTTCACTTATTGCTGTTTAGTTTTATCATGTCATGTCATCAGGATAATGATCAATGGATGGGCCTGTTAGTTCTTTAATTCTTTTTATAAAGTGGTAAATGGAGAATTTTTCCTGGAGGTGGAAGAGTTGTTGAACCTTTGCAAAACCATCCCTAGGATTTGTATACATAGAATGGTCAAGTGCTTATGGATTGCAACTGAAGACATGGTATTCATGTCAGCAAGTTGCATATCTTGTTGCCATAAAAAAGTGTCAATAGTCTAGTGGTTGAATATAAAAAGAAATACAATATTTCACACAATGCTTATAGAAGGAAGAAACATGATGTCATGAGCAGTTAATTAGTTATATATCCAGGACCCTTGCAAAAAATATACATGTTTTGAATTCTGCTCTGTCCAAATTTAGAATCTTATTCATTATTGCTACTAAGGAATACCAGGGTCTTTCTTGAAAGAGCAATTCCTAATCTACAACTAAATATTTTCTTTTGGCCTCAAAATAAAAGAAGAAGAATAATAATCCATGTACTCAGTCCCTGTTCATTTTTAACTGAGAGTGCTTCTTTTCTCATCTCCTATGCTCTTGAAAACCTCAAATGAGAAGTTTTGCTGATTTACTACCTTCCTTTAACCCTTACTCATGAAGCCTTGTACAATGATATGATAATGGGAAAAAAGCACAGCAAGGGTAATAGGTATTTGTTTGTTTTAACAGTCAAAGAAGCAATTACATGGAACCACAACTATCTTCACAGCTAATAACTTTCTAAGCAGTTAAAAAGGTGAATATAACCAACACTTCATACACAATTAAAGCAAGTAGGAACATAAAATGTAATTCAGGTGTGTAGACTACATAAATGCATACCAAAGATTGAGGTCCATAAGGAGGCATTGCTCCCCCATAATATGGATCTGCATATGGATAGGATGGAAATGCCTGCAAAAGAGTTTTCCACTTAGAGTTCCACCATTGCACCATGACAATAAACATCTAGGATATTTTTAGTATCAAGGATGAAAGGCAGACATATAATCTTTCCAATCCAATGTTTAGGAAACATAGCAAGAAGAGATGGTTTAGCCATTGGGTCAGAGTGCAACCTATCCTCCCAACTTTCTACCTTCCCATCGAACATAAGCCACAAAGATACACCTAGCTGTTTATATACCCTACACAAATTCTTATTTTCATATGTAAGCAATTACCACCATAAAGGCAGTAAAGGATCTAAGCAGGCATGTGCATGTGTAAATTCACATGCTCCCAAGAGAGAGAAAGAGAAAAATTACAATTGAGTGGCCAACAAGCTCCAGCTGGGTTCGTGGTGCTACATATTCACCCATTGTTGGAGGCATAAAGGGTACAGCATGCGGTAAATGTGGCTGTTCATCACCACATTTTCCATCTGTTCATAAAAGACAAAACCTTCATTAGCTTCAGAGCATATAACAACATAATGTGCAAAACAGACTGAAACCATATTTGTTAAAGTACAATATTATCAGAGAAAACGCAGCGATTGGTTGCCAAGATAACCCAAAGAGCTGCTATGGCACTTTGGTTATAGCTATGTTAATTAAAAGTGTGCAATCCAACACCACTCAAAGATTTGACCTGCTTAATGTACTTCTTTTAAGGTCTTATTGAAGTCTGCCTGGACAATGCATCAGTTACACTTTCAAATTTTTTACTCACATGACTTCAACTTAAGGAATTTTATGCCTTGAAAACTATCAAACACAAACATTATGGATTTTTTACTTCAAAATCATATAAATACTGTGATACTTCAATTTTATAAGGCATGATATGCGTTTCATGAATATGAATGCATGTACAAGAAAACACTATCAATAACAGTTCAGAATATGAGCTGCTTGAAACGTACTTGGAGAAAAATCTCATATCTTGAAATAAACAACTTAAATTAGAATAATTAGAAAAAGAGATAGAGAGAGGAACTGCAGAGTCTAAAAAAATCAAATCATTCCCCAAAAAAACCTAGCAAATATTCCCAATCTCACTTTAATGAGGCCAGAAGCAGATTGCAACAAATGGCACATTGTTATTATTGTGTATTATGAACTTATAGCAATGCTCTTCGCCAACCTTTTTATCGCACACATAAAGCCCATGAACTAAGCTTGCAGTTCAAAACCACATATAATAGACCTATTAAACAAAAACAGCATATTAATTACCTGGATGTGGCAATACAGTTAACCACATTTCTTTACTACCACAAATTTTATGATCAGTCAATTCTCCATGCTGAGATTCACTCGTTTGGGTCCCTAAACCTCCATTTGGGTGTTTTCCAGGAGATAAGTTTGTCCTGCTTTCTCCTAAAACATCTGTTGAAATGGAATCCTGCTGTGTGCTGCACCACCAGGGTTGAGAACGAACTGTGTATGCTTTGCTGTTATTCACATTAGGTTCTGGATGGTTTTTGCCATCTGGTTTTTGGTGCATCTTCCAAAGTCTAAAATATACAATACACCAGCCAACTGCTTGCATATGCAAACAAAAGAAATTTCAAATCAGCAAATGCAGCTACTAATACACTCAAGAAAAGCATATCATAAACTTTATTATGTGAATGTACATGTCTATCTTAGTACAATTAGATAGAACATTCATGAATAAATGCATATAAAGTCAATTCACATGACCATAGAAGAGAAACACACCACACTCTTAGAGATGCAAACCTGGAAGCAGCCAATGCAGAATGTAATGCAAGAAAGAAATCTCACAGACCATATTCTATAAAGATAACTTAGCATTCAGAAACCACAATGTTGATACCACACATAACCAGAACAATAAAATCATTCTTTCCTTGTGTATGTACCTAATTTTTCTCCTTTTCTTTTCCCTTTTTTATCTTTTCTAACAAGAGGAATCAAAAACATGTAGAACTGAAAGTATGTGTATGCAGTACATCATGAATGCAGTTGGGGCATATATCAGAGACACATTTAGGGAGCTATAAAAAGGTGCTGATTCTTAGCCACACCAATTTTTTGAAGGTGTACATCCTAGTGGAAAATATTAAAATTAGAGTTGAAAGCTTTTTTTATGAGCAATTAGAGTTTCAAGTTAACTAAAGCTATGTTTTGTTGTTATGTTTGCTACTTGATATTAATTTGCTCCCTTGAAAATTGCTAAAAGTGAAAAAGTAAAGTAAAGAGAAACTTCATGTTTGATTAAAAATGAATAAACTGCTAAAACACGACACAACAAATACATAGTTGTTTCTTAAAGAAGTAAAATCACACAATTTGCTACTCACAAGAATTTAAGTTTAATTTTAAATGAATGGAAATACTATTTACTTTTCTATCTACACGAAGTCTTTTACTATCTTGCTTTCAAAATCATAAAGCAAATAGCAAACTCAAAAAGCAAAGGGAGGCAAGTTAATATAATTAGCTTGATCCTAACTCAACATGGATTCAAGAAGCTTGTTTCCATTTTAGCATATTTGCTGATCCCTCATATCAAGCTTGTTTATACAAAAAGCAAAGCAAATACGCGTAATTTCTTCTCTAACAGCTTTTAAGACAAGCTCCTCGTGGCAAGAAGTAAAATGCTACACAAATGCTATTGGTTTATTTCTGTAGTCTTTCATGTATTCATTGGACTTGAACTACATTTGTGAAGTTCTCACCAGTACAATGTAAAATAATTTCTTTCTCATAAATACAGCTTAAAATATATTTCATTTTTTTTATTCCAAGAATAAGCCAGCTTCCATAGTAATTATCAAAAGATATAAAAGCTCCAATTCCCTTCAAACTTAAGGTCATGCATTTAATAAACAAGGCTGAGCCTCATATCAAAGCTTGCCTACATAGCCAAAAGCCTCAGTTAACCTCAATTAGTGACTAGGAATTAAAAAAGGCTATGCTATATTGATTTGCTTCACACTATCATACTCTTTTCTTATTCTTTAACATCACTTCTGATATTAATGGGGTTTTCACAAAAAAGAATCTTTTACATTAAGAAATGGTCCTTTAGCTGACTCTACAAAGTAGAAAAAGGCTTTGTTTGTTCTTGTTTTCAAAAAAAAAAAATCCTTTTTTATAAGACAGCAAAAGATGAAAAGCCAATCTCCAATAATAATGACTTCCAGTTTGTACACTCTAAAGTAGCCAAAACAAGATAGACCAGATATTTGTACATAGACCTTGTAGCCACTTAACACTTAACCTTGATCTTTGCAATTTATTGACCTCTCTTTCTAAATCTTTATGGATCATGCTTAAGTGGTATCCAATAATACCTCTCCTTATCGGACTATAGATTCAGTAATCTCCTTTAAGGAGAAATCCTATGAAATTCGGACGCTAATTCTACAAGGCTAAAGCCTAAACTTAAGTACCCCAACCCTTTCCACCGAGGCTCTATTTGGTTGATACTTTTGCTATTTCTTTTTGTCTACTCAAAATTTGCCATATAAAATAAAAAACAAATAAATAGTCGAATGCAGAAAAATAAATTAATTAAAAATAAATAAATGACTATGACATAACACCAATTCCTATATAAATAAAGGTAAGTAAGATCATAGCATAATTGTTCTCCAAACAAATTACATCTGTAATCTTTAATTTATAAAAGATATTGCTTATTTTTGTAAACTCTATTCACTTGTTGGCGAAAGGCAAGCAACAAATATAGTATAAGTTTACTCTTTAAGGAAATCATATCAATTCCAAAACTTTAATTAACTCAGTTAATTATCTTATATTAAAAATCCACCAACAGAACCACAAAAAAAAGCCGTCAAGCAACCAATATCCATAAAGACATGCCCTTCTGCATTAAAATATTACGCTGAAAAATAATAAACAACAAATAAAGACGACTGGTTCTTATCTAGAGGAAAAAGCATTTAAAAGAAGAGAAAGAAATCTCAATCTACAACACCAAACAACAAAACATCAGATCATATCATGTGCTCACCATACATGCATGCATGCACATATATAGTTTGAATCATGATCCTTAATTCACTTCTTATTCCAAAAAACAAAAAAAAAAAAACTTCTACAATTATTATTAAGGCAAATGAAAAACAAAACCAAAAACACTCACCAAAGAGAAACATAAAAACAGATCAGTAATAAACGAAAAAAAAAAAGGTACCCTTTACAGAAATCAAAACAACAAACACTAATTAAACCATAACATAATTCAAAGCCAAAGAAAAACATATAAAAAACAAGTCCATGGAACAAACTTCGATCAACATAAACCAATATAGAGAGACTGTTTCTCACTCAAACAAGAGAAGAGGAAGGGAAAGAACTTACCGAGATAACCCAAAAAGAGAAAGAAAGTTCTTTGCGTTTAGAAGAAGTGGAAGTGAAGTTGGAAATTTATGTCTGAACTTTCAAACCAAAGAAGATATGGCACTGTGTAGTAGTAACTGATAGAGCAACGAAGCCAACGTATTTTGGATTAAAGAAATTAAAAAAAACAAAAAACCAATTTTTTTTTAATTTTTTTTTTTAATTTAGAGGTGACAAAGGAACGTCGTTTTCTTTCTCCCGCTTAAAAGTTTTTTCGCATGTTTTGAGTTTTGGAGGCGTTAATGATAATTTGGGTGAGTTAACGGAAGGAACCAAATTTTTTTAGACGGCGTAAATGACGTCAATGTCCCTACTTTTTGAGAATGACGAGATCATCCTTCTTAGTCTTAACTACAACAAGAGTGTCCGATGTTTTTTCCTCTTTTTTTTCTTACCTAATTCTCTATTTTCCAACCCCACGTTCCTTGACTCTTTTCCTTTTTCTTCTTTTTTTTTTTAAGTTTGGTTAGTGGGGTTTTTGCTTCTATTATTGCTTTAGCGTGTGGTTTAGTTTAATTCAAGTAAATTACTTAATTGATTTGTTTTTTCTTGAAATGACATATATAGAATATGCAAAAGAAAGTCATTATGAGTACTTTTTTATAATTTTTAAATAATATAATAAATTCTTTAAAGATTGAGATAAGTGTGTAAAATAAAAAATAAATGAATAATAAACATTTAAAATAAATAATAATAACCCATCAAAACTTAACTTCTGAAAAGTGGATTAAAATAGGGGAAAATTTTGATACGTAACCTTAAAAGAGCAGAAGAAGCATGAGACAGAAGAGGCCAGTAGGGGCAGATCAGTCCATAGGAATAAAGAAATATGTAAGCAATGAATCGGACATTAAACTAAACCAAGTTAATCCAGAAAGGGTGAAAAAGAGTAATTAAATTTTAATTAAATCAATCAAAGATTTGAAAATACTTGCGTTTTCTACCACTGGATTGGACAGCCCAGACGTGTCCACCCGTCCCACTACCTTCCACAATCAGACAACGTTGACACGTGGGACCCACGGACCACCAAAAAGCCGCCACGTGGTCCATGAGAACAGTACTGTGACCACTTTAACGGCCCAGCGCCGTTAGTCTGTCGTGGCGTTAGGTAGCAAAAGTGTGGTCCCCTTCCCCAAAGGAAAAGACGACATGCACGGATCTCCGTGACGGCGACCGTCAACGCCCACGTGTCCCCCGAAACACAAGGAGTGAACTATAAGCCGCCCGGAAAGCGAGTGGAGGGCAGCCACGTGGAAGGTGCGTAGAAGCTTTGGGAAAGGAAAGAGGACAGCTCATCCGTGGGCGTGAAGGACCAGTGAGGTTAAAGGGGCAAAAATAAAACACGCACAAAATTAAGGTCCCACTGTTGATGATAAAGTTTCCTTCATGGGATTGTGATTATCAGATTGCTTTTGACTTTAGTTGCAAGGTACCTGTTTATGGTAAGGGAATTTTACGTTATTATTTCAAGTATTCATCATCTTTAGGTTATATCCAGGAATCATAACAAATGAATAAGGATGCAAGAGTGACACGTCCCTTCGAATTAAATATCCATTTCAATTAAAAAATTACTACTTATAAATTAAAATTATCCCTAACAAGTCTAATGATAACATCTGTTCAGTAAAGACGAGATTAGAAAGTTTAATTTCGGCTATTTTTATTAGTTTTTTTTTTGTCAATTACTTGTGGATCTATGCATGTGTTGTATGTATTGACAAGTAATTGAAAATTTTTTAACATGTTTTGTTATTTAATACAAGAATCCCTTTCTCTCTTTAACTTTTTGTTATCCCGTGAATATAAAATCCAATCACAAATTTTAAAAAAATATATAAGGTATATTATAAAAACAATAAAATTAAAATAAATTTAATATATGCATTTGAGTATTTGACTTATTCATTAGTGCGTAATCTCTTACTTAAAAAGTGAACTTCAAATCTTTCTTCTCCAAATCAATAATAATAATAATAATAATAATATATAATTGGTTCACTACTGTCAAACTATAAAATTTATTAGAGAGTAAATTTGCATTTATGGTACCTTAGATGAAACCTTTTAGTGGCGTACAATAGGCTTACCTATTAAGCACATATTCAAGTTGCATGAATTTTATTTAGTTATAAATTTACCTATTGCTTGTTTCTTTAGAAACAAAATGTAAAGGAAAAAAGAAAAAGAAAAAGAAAAAACACCTAGATACTAGAACAAAAGTGAATAATTAAAATAAAAAATTGACTTACATGAACATTTTTTCATACTATCATTATTTTTTAAAATTTCGAGAAAGGGAGATTTAACAAAACGTCACGTAGGGATGGGAGTGGGTGGGTTTTATTCGGTTATGGAACCTGATTAAACTCAATTAATACAATTTTAGATAGTAAAATTAATATTGGACATGATTTTAGATATAACTTATATTTGAGGTTAGAATAATTGTTACTTTATTCCATTTATATGTTAGTTGATTTCAGTGCGGATACTTGAATTAAAACATTTAAAATCTTTTCTAGTTGTATCACTTAGGGTATTTATCAGTTCAATCAATTTTCGATGAATTGTTTCAATTTCGCTTATTTGCTCAATATCGTGGCCATCATAGCTTCTAGCTCCTCAATTCTTTGATGATCTTTTGATGCACTCCACGTGATCACCATGTGTGCTTTTTCACTTAGCATATCTCACCTGTGCTTTAATACTAATTGTCACAGCTTACACCTCCTGACTCGAACACACAATAACCAGTGCAATGCTTGGGTGGATGCTACCACAAAAGTCAACCAAAAACTCGATTATATCTGAGTAAACATAAATTATTGCGATAAGTTAGTTTATGAAAAGTAGCAATAAAATTATAAGGTACAACAAATGTCATATACGCAACCACTGATTTCAAGTAAAAGAAAAATGTTTTATTAATATTGAAAAGGGAATACAAAGGGTACAAAGAGATCAAAAGTATAAACAAGCCATTGTTGGGTTATAAGGACAGCTTTAAATGGTTAGCCATGAACATACTTTAACCAATGAAACAACCCAACAATCCATCGATTGCTCACCGTTTATAAAGTGCGAACAAGCTTTTACACTTATGCCACCAAGAACCATTACAATTGTGAAATAAGGACACTCCTTCCCTCAAAAGCTTTCCTCCTAAAGACTTAATACGTTTTTATAAATATGCTACCAAGTGATATTACATTGTTTAACGTGGGGGCATTTCCCTTTAAGGTAACTTAGTCTCTTAAATAGTTTTACCCCATCATGGCTTATACAAAGATCGGCTCATGACATCCTTTTTCACTCAATCTGTCGACGTCTCATTAACTGGTTGGCTTGGAATTCTTAGATTTTCTACTTGAAGGTGTAAAGGTCAGCTTTGTTCTCCAAGTTGATTTCATCTACTCCAAGACTTTCCCATTTAACCAAGAACTCTTACGATGGTCATCAAAAGACTAACATTGTCCTTTTTACAAGACTGTCCTCTACTTGGCACTGTGATGGTTGCTCTCATGACTTAACTTCAACTTGCATCTACTAGATCTACATGGAATGACTTCAGGTTGCTGATGTGAAATATTGGATGTCTCTTCTTCCACTTTGGTGGATCAATCTTGTAATAAGTCTTCTTAACCTTGGTAATAATTGTTATCAGGCCTTCATACTTCTGCACTAGTCATTGGTCTCCTTTTTTTAGGAACCTAAGCCGTTTGGGTACTAATTTCACTAAATAAAGTCACCCACCTTAAAGTGCCACGCTTGTTGATCTTTGTCTGCCTACTTCTTCATCTAGCTGAAGGCTTTCTCTAGATATGCCCAAGCAATCTCCATGTTTTGTCTCCACTTCTTAGTAAAGTTAAAAGCTCATGAGCTCTTCCCTTGATATGACTCCACTAAAATGTGAAAAAGTCTAAATTGTTGCCTAGTGATGACTTTGAAAGGGTTTTGTTAATGGAAAGATAGAAACTGATAAGAATGCTCTAATTTCTACTGGCACCAACTAGACTTTGAGAAAGCATTTCTTTTGATTTTATAGTAAAACTCCCCAAAGTTGAAGACATGACATCAATTTGGTTGGTAGTGGACCATTTTTCAAAGTACGCCATGTTTATCTCAATTTAGAAATAAAGGAAAAAATAATCTAATTCTTGTCAAATGTCATGATTTAAATCTTTTCAAATTCAGTTACAGCATGCTTGGTTGAAGGGAATGGCTATTCCATTCCCCCTTATTCCAATCACCAATTAAAGATTACAACTGCTTCAATGGAATGACCATTTTGAGGAATGATTATTCCAAGGGGTCCCTAAATAGCCAATACAGAGGCCCTTATTAGTATTGGCTATTCCAAGGGGTTAGGAATAGACTTAAAAATTAATTAGACATAAATATCTCTTAACAATATAAAAAATTACTACCCAACCCAGAGTTACACCTAAACCAACCACCTTGAGTTTCTTTCTTATTAGAACTCCTCTCTTTAGACAGCTATCCACTATTGCACCTCTATACTACTATCCACTTTTCCATTGTCAATTCCCCATATTTGGTGAGTTGTTCATTGTCTCTCTTTTCTAGCTTGGGTACTTTTTGTCTTTTTAAATAATTTTAGGTTAATCAATTTTTTGTTTCTCTCTTCATCATATTCTCTCCTTCAACTAGCCATCCACTACAACACCTTCCCACTACCATCCACTTTTCCACTATTAATTTCTTCATCTCTAGTTAGTATTGTTTTTCTCTCTATTCTAGCTTGGATGTTTTTTGTATGTGTGGCAAAGAAAGAATCACACCACCAAGAACTATACATTGAACATAACTAATTTCTCTAAGTTTACTATATCTTAATTATTCATAATTTTTTTGTACAAGTTTGTTGGGATTGAATGCCCCTAGCTAAGATATGCAGGCTTTACCTTCACATTGATAGTAATTTTGTTAATAAAATAGATCAACTCATTTATAATTTTCACAAATGCATTATATATAGTATCTTAATTCTAATTACAAGAATTAATATTGGACAAATACTTGGGTACTATTATAAGATATAATTATGTATATAATATTTAATAAATTTGA